CAGTATATATATATATATTAATCCTCCAAACTAATCCCTCAGACACCGTTTTCAAATTTCTGAATGGTGGTCTCACATTGGTGGGCGAAACTGTCTTTAAATATTCATTGTCATTAATTATTTTCAGATAATGTACAATACTTCATCTGTTTGATTTATTATTAGGTCCTACCTTTTTTATTCCTAATGCCGTCTTGAATTCGTCGAAATCTATTTCCCGATCTTCACCCGCAATTTCTGCGAATTGTTTTCCAACCCACATCAGCCATTGTGCGTCCTCATCCATTACGTAACTGAAACATAAAAAAAAAACCAGAGTGACGACATTATTGCATTATTGATTTTATTCCAACTTTCTTTTAAAGAAATACAATGAAAAATTAACTGTTCTTAATGAAACATGAAATTACTGCTGAGCAAAGGCATTTGAAATTTAATTAATAATAATAATTTAACAGAGGTAGCAGTCTTTGGTCTTTGTATACGACCATCAATAATAACCTTTTCCCTCTCTTCCTTTCATTACTATTTCGGAAATATAATGTTTATGGTCATGTATTTTATTTTAAAAAAACGTATTTAAACCCGGATTTGAATTATTTTACTATTATTGGTATATAATCTCTTTGCATCTAGATAAAAAGTTTAATGGTAGCGGTCATTTTATTTCAAATACTTGTAAAAGTTGGCTACGTCCTAAAGCTCTGTGAGTTTTTCTTGCAGAACTTATCGTAGCCTCCTTCTATACAATCTTTAAATTTAAAATTTTCAAATTCTCATCTCATTTGTTTCCACAATAAAAAGTAAATATACAATATGAAATAGTACAAAGTGAATATAGAATAAATGAACACAGCGTAAATTACATTATAATTGGAAGTGGAAAAAGGGAAATCACAGGAAGCAAACTTTAAAGCGGATGCCCTTCTATTATGAAATTAATAATATAATTAATTAGTCTAAATAAAGAATATAAATATAGCAAAAATAAATTTAAAAAAGTAAATAATAAATACGAATAATAAGATAATATTAATATTTTCAATTATTGTATTTTGTACTGCGTCTTTTTATTACTTTTGTATGGAAATAAAAGTATATTATTGATTTGAATGCGTGGACTCGTGGACATCAAAATGTAATAATATCAATAAACTTATAGTATTAATATAAAATAATATTATAATAATGTTATTGATGATGCTCTGCTTGGAACACATTGATTAGTTGTTTAATTCTTATTTTGAATATTTTTATTGGCTATAGCAAATGTTGATATTCGATTGTGTTGTATTTTTTGTATGGCGGATAATAGCCCATTGATGGCTTTTGTAGCAACTAAATATTGAATAATACGATGGTGATGATGATGAGAATAAACTAATATTAATATTGTGTCGACCTCTTATATTTCATTTATAATGACAAAAACATTTTTTATGCTGACCTACAAAATATATATTCAAAACATGTATTCTAATTTAGAATAATAAAGGCGAAGGTTGTTTTGCCGATATCGCAATGATATCCATCACTTGAACTTTGCAATAAATAATAGTAGCACAACATATCTAGAACGTGTAATCAAAATGAATAATCTGATTAATTTTATACTTTTATTATATATTATCATTTTGAAATGAATATCATATTTTGAATGCAGACTATGCTATTCGGGGCAAGAAACAGTTGCTGATTTCTGAATCATGCAAAAGGGACTGATAAAAACCCCTATAAATCAGAGATTGTTGAGTAGTATAATGCAACAATATACCGTGCACATTGTACTATTCTAATTTCACTGTGTATATAAACTCAAACCAAAGTGGCTTATCATTATTTGCTAATTTTCAAAACATGTGATGTTCGCAAAAAAAAAAAAGTCATATTGTACTAAACATAAAAAATGAGTTATTGACATATTTAGATCGATTACATTATCAGCTTTATATGGTCTTTTAACCACGTCCCTAGGTTAAGTACAATCGGTTTAAGATCCCATTGAAATTCAGATGTAAAACATAGTTTACAGAAAATCACCCCTGAAGATTCATCTGACAAACTTCCTGTTAGTTGTCTTATCCTTTCTGAAAAATGGATTTACAGTATTGCCTAAAATATATTCAATATAAATATATGACATGGGAACATTTGCTGTCTTAAAGTATAGCCCTACATATTAAACATACTAGATACCCTAAAACACAAATTTTGCCATAGAGTACAACATGACTCATGCCTCGACACTTTAATTATTAGGCCTACATCGTCCTCTATATATTGTCTAGAGTTACATATGGAAAGCAAACGATCTGAACGGTTATTTCAAATATTTAAACATTAAGTCTGATTGTTTCATCTGACAGTAATAAGTAGGCCTAATACACAACAACTTGATGGGGCAAAAATAGAGGACTATGTGAAAACCTACACAATAGGTGTATTTCTCAGTATAAGCATTAGAGAGTAGTATTGTTAGTTGTGAGAACAAAATTATATATATAATATAATAATACACATTTTTAAAGCGCCTATTAAAGCAAACAAAACTGGCTTGTCACCGGCGCTAGGAGGATGTTTTAATATGCCTATTAGTAAATTGGAAAATAAAAATATGTAAAAATAAAGTAATATTAGAAATAAGTTTATTTTAGACATGTATAGTATTTCATTGTACCACGTGAACAACTTTATTATTTTGAATTTTATATATTCATATTTCTTATTCTTTTCTTTAAAATACAAAATGATAGGCATAGGCCTATGACTATAGCGAATATTGTATAAAGAACTGCAAAGAAAGATAGGCTTGCACATTGTTGTTATGATTATTAAAACCACATGACTCGACTGGTGGGCATGTATTTAAAAAATATCTTCGATTATACGAACTGCTCTTACATATCTTGGACTTTTTCATACTGAAATGCATTTTTCATCACTTAAAAATAGATCAAATGACAAACTAAAGTATTGTACTCGATAACAACTGAACCACTTATTAAACTTATGGGACTAACAGTATAATATACTCTTTCCACCTAACATATTTTTGAAATGTAAACGAGGTATTAGGTTTACTGTCAAAAAGTCTATTAAGCGACTAACTATATTACAACGTCTAAAGGAATCAACGCAAACGTTCCTAATCACAAGGGCAAAACAAGAGAATTTGGTATGAACTAGTACGACAAAACAAATTCTACCTTAACCGGCTTTTGGAGCAAGAATGCAAGACAGTCATCACAGAATCATAAACAATACATGGTGTTGGTTGAGCAATGAATCTGTTCTCTATTTAAGTCAGATTTTGAACATTCCTTCCAAACAATTGAAAGAAGAATTTAATTTAATTATAAAAACAAAATGTAAACGAGGTTGTAGGTTTATTGTCAAAAAGTCGCGCGATCCAGTGCATTCTGTCAGCGGGCGCGTGCGTGTAAATACGTATTTATCCTAACTTATTACAGGAATGAAGACGTCGGGATATTTACATGGTAAAGATGCAGGTTCTGATAAATGTGGGCTCACTTTGATGGTTACGTGAAAACACAGGCCTCTCAATCGTCTGATCAATAATTAAGAAATAGAATCCTTATATAATCTTACTTTTTTTTTCTTTCCTTTTGAATTCTTAGGCCTACTCAACGTCTGACAATCACTTATTAAACGTTTCCTACGCCAGTAGCAGAATACGTAAATATGCTAAAAAAAACTCCTACTGTTCCGCAACTTTGAATAAACTTCCTCTTAATAGCAACTGAACTGTCTACCCTCAGGGCGTATCTGTTGTCAGGAGCTTTTAGAGATACTTAAAATTTAAAATCATAACAAAATATGCATGGTAAATTTAAGTAAAATACCGCCATCAATAGTGGACCACTGTGAGACTTAATACAAAAAGTAGTGATAATTTGGTGGTCGTTTTTATGGTGTTCTCAATAGACCTACGGTGCAACGGTTATTATTATTTTTAAAGGTTCTCTTTTGGATTTCTTTTGTGAGCATTAAGCTTTTAGTGGATAATAATCAAATAATATAGAGTACGTACTTGTAAACCATTGGGCTAGATATAAGATTTTTGTAGGAAGTGATAACGAATGAAAGAGTGTTCAGGCTATGTTTAAATACTGTACACTGATTTGAATTAAAATGAAATATTATGGTTTAAACGATAATAGGCCTTCTTACTTTGTAACGCTAAGATCCGCAAAATAAACCTTTTAGTACTGGTAACTAAAATATAACGTTTCGGGATAGGGAAACTACATTGGCGGTAAATTTTATATACGATTGATTTATAAGTCTAATAATAATAATAATTATTATTATTGCTTTATTATTATTACTTATCTATTCTCGTCTCTATTTTGAAGGATTTTTTGTATATGCTCTACAGAGAGATTATTCGTTCTAGTAGTAAGAGCTTATCAACTTAACCTGTGAAAACTAAAATACAGTACCGGCCAAATTATACCTTTTGCAACACATGTGTACCGATATCCAGCTTATTCAGCAATATTCATGGTTATCAAAATGATTCTGATGAATAAAGTCGGTCGCACATATACCTCTAATGGCTATCAACGCCCATCGGAATGGATTCAATGCCGTTTGCACGAAGTACATAGCAGGGAGCTTTCGAATGCAGGACGACGGTATGACGTAGAACGTAATGACGTCATCTGCTCATGCGAGAACGAACACACACACACACATGGATTCTAGGATGTAATTTGGCCCAATCTACGTTGTGCATAGGACGGTTGGAAGGTCGCACATGAGTGAATCCGTTTAAGCGCCACGTAGTCGCGCGCAAATTGTAAGCTCAATAACGGTCTCTATGTGCAGACAGTGTATTCTGTCACAGCAGCGTACTGATAGTTCACAAGTGCTCGAATAACAATCCATTTGTCCCGCGGTGTATCGCTTCCAAAAGGATTTTCACTTTTGAAAGTGATTAATTATGCTGTAATTATTAAGCGACTAACTATATTACAACGTCCAAAGGAATTAACACAAAAGTTCCTAATCAAACGGGCATGACGAAAACAAGAGAATTTGGTATGAACTAGTACGACAAAACAAATTCGACCTTAACCGGCTTTTGGAACACCAATGCACAGGTCATCACAAAATTATAAACAACACATGGTGTTGATTGAAACATTAATTTGTTCTCGATGTAGGGCCTACGTCAGATTTTGAACATTCCTTCCAAACACTTAAAAGAAGAATTTAATTTAATTATAAAAATGACATTCGATAAAAAAATAAAATAAATAAAAACGCA